TGACTCTTTTATAATAACATTAAGCTTAAAACACAAACATGTTACACAGCTGTACAAAATTATTTTCTTTCTTTATATCCATATTCAATAAACTTTATTTTTTAAAATTAAAAAAAATTTTTTTTTGCTTTTTAAACTTTTGTTAAAAACAAAGACACACACACATACACGCGCACACACACGAGCCTAGGCCTGCACAGAGTCAGGATAGTCAATATCACTGTCTCCTACCTCCACATCTTGTCCCATTGGAACAAGGTCTCCAGGGGCAGTAACAGGCAGGGAACTGTCATCTCCTATGAAAACAATACCTTCTTCTGGAATATCTCCTGAAGGGTCTGCCTGAGGCTGTTTTACAGTTAACTTTCTAAAAAATATAAGTAGAAGGAGTACACTCTAAAATAACCATAAAAAGTTTACAGTACATATATAAACCAGCAACATAACTGTGTACTATCAATATCAAGCATTATGTATGGCACATAATTGTATATGCTGTGCTTTTATATGACTGGCATCACCACAAACGTGAGCTGAGCTAGAGTGTTACCACGGCTACTATCAGTAGGTGATAGGGAATTTTCAGCTCCATTATAATCTTATGGGACCACTGTTATATATGCATCTGTCATTGATGGAAACGTTAGTGTACAGTGCATAACTGTACTTTTAAAATTCAAGTACTTTTGCTACATAACATACTGTATATTCTAGTCTATGTACACATGTACAATGATCTTAGCTATTAAAATATGCATAGAAGGTACAGACTAGAATGCATAGCATGCTTTCATCAAACATAATTAAAAAGTATAAATAGCCGGGCTCGGTGGCTCAGCCTGTAATCCCGCGCCTTTGGGAGGCTGAGGTGAGTGGATTGCCTGAGCCCGTGGGCTCGAGACCCGCCTGGGCAGCGAGACCTCATCTCTACAATAAATCAAAGAAATCAGCCAGGCGTGGTAGCACATGCCTGTAATTCCGGCTACTTGAAAGGCTGAGGCGGAAGGATCACCGGAGCCCAGCAGGTAGAGGCTGGGCGAAAGAGTTGAGACTCCAACTAAAAAAAAACAAAAAAAAAGTATAAATAGACCTCTATGCTTATATATGCGAAGCCTATCTCTGAAGAATACATAAATTGGTAACATGTTTGCTTTTGAGAGGGGAACTAGAGATTGGGAATAGGGGTGGGAGTAAGGCTTACTTCTCAGTGTAAATCCTTAGGTTCTGTATTTTTTTTAATGCTAAGAATTCAGAAAATAGTGCAAACTACAGATGGCGAGAAAGTAATATTTGCAAATAGTATAAGTTTGAATTATTTTTAGTGTGTTTTACTTTTTTTTTTTTTAAGTTGGAGTCTCACTCTGTCGCCCAGACTGGAGTGCAGTGGCCGCTCCCGGCCACTGCAATCTCAACCCACTGGGTTCCAGTGATCCTTCTGCCTCAGCCTTCCGAGTAGCCAGAATCACAGGCACGCGCTACCATGCCCAGCTGATTTTTTTTGATTTATTGTAGAGATGAGCTCTCGCCAAGTTGCCCAGCCGGGTCTCGAACCCACGGGCTCAGGCAGTCCACTCACCTCAGCCTCCCAAAGCGTGGGATTACAGGCTGAGCCACCAAGCCCGGCTTGTTTTACTTTTTAATTAACAAATTAGGTATAATTTTAAAATAAATGACACTCTTTTGCATGCAAATATATTGGAGGAAATACACTAAAATGTTAACCGTAGTAGTTTCTGAGTGAGTGGGACATCAGGTAATTTTAAATTCCCTTTTTTAAACTTGAGAATCATTTTCAATTTTTTTTTTTTTATTTGGAGTCTCACTTTGTCACCCAGGCTGCAGTGCAGTGGCACACTCCCGACCACCGCAGCCTTGACCTGCTGGGCTCAGGTGATCCTTCCGCCTCAGCCTTCTAAGTAGCTGGAACCACAGGTGCTTGCCATGATGCCCGACTAATTTTTTGATTTATTATAGTGACAAGGTCTTGCTATATTGCTCAGGCTGGTCTCCCACCCCTAAATTTAGGCAATCCTCTTGCCTCCACTTCCCAAAGTGCTGGGATTACAGGCATGAGTGCCTGGCTAATTTTCAGATTTTTAAATAGTGAGTATATACTTTCACAGGAGATATTTTTTCTTGTGAGTAAAGAAAGATGACTGACAGTAGAGTGGAGGATGGTGCGAGGTCATTGTGGTTACTTCACTTTTTTTAGGTAGAAAAAGCATAATTTCTTCGAGTCACCAGTTCCTGCACTAATAGGCTTTGCATCTTGTACTATGGGAAGGTGAAAAGTTAAGGTTGTGAGACAGTTTATGCAGACAGTGGCACCCATCCCACCAACCTCACTTTCTTCCTTCATGTAAACGCTACATAGTAGTCTTCCACACTTGGGCATGTTCCACACTTGCCTAGTGAGCCTTGACATGGGGCAGATGGATACAGGGATGGAGCTGAGGGTCTCAATATTGGCTTGAGAGCTGGGAGCAAAGAGAAAGAAGAACAGAGGCCACAGGAGGCTAGTGATGACATATTCCAGGAAGTTTTATTAAAAGACTGCTAATAATCCTCCATATTTGTTTGCCCTTTCTTCAAGAGAGCTTTAAACCATCTACGTATGTCAGCTTCTTATCCTCTCAGCTCTCTGAGAGGCCCAAAGATCCACATCTACCAGTCTCATTCTTTCTTTTATTTTGGGGAAGAAAGCAGGGGCTCAGTGGCTCAACCTGTAATCCCAGCATTTTGGGATCCCAAGGTGAGAGGATTGCCTGATCCCATGGGTTCAAGATCAGCCTGGGCAACTTGGCGAGACCTCGTCTGTACAATAAATCAAAAAATTAGCCGGGCATGGTAGTGCACGCCTGTAGTTCCGGCTACTTGGAAGGCTGAGGTGGAAGGATCGCCAGAGCCCAGCAGGTTGATGCTGGGGTTGCAGTGAGTGTGCTACTGCACTCCAGCCTGGGCAATGGAGTGAGACTCCAACTCAAAAAAAAAAAAAAAAGGATAGAAACTCAGATATGATGTCACATTAGGGCTATCTTCCCACCCCCTTCTCACCACTCACCTGGCCATCTGAGTACCAAGTGCTGAGCACAAGGAGAGATTTCAGGTACAGAGGCAGGGTTCCAAGACACAGGAGAAGTGATTAAAGGCGCAAATAAGACCTTGTCACCAAGTGCTGGATTTTGGGGTTCAGATTTAAAATCTTCTAGGAGAGGAAAGAGGGGGTGGCAGGACTGAGTGGGAGGGAGTCTCAGGGAATGTCTGGGACAATAAAAATTTGCTGAATGAATGAATGAGTGAGTGAACAAATAAATAAAGGATCTAGACTTCAAAGGATTTGGAATAATAAGGACTTATGTTCACATCTGTGTGAAATTTACCAGTTTATAAAGATTTCAGGCTGAGTGCAGTGCTCATGCCTGTAATTCTAGCACTTTAGGAGGCTGCGGCGAGAGGATTCCTTGAGCCCAAGGGTTTAAGACCATCCTGGGCAACATAGCGAGACCTTGTGTCTATAAAAAATAAAATAGAATAAAATAAGCCGGGCTTGGTGGCTCAGCCTGTAATCCCGCACTTTGAGAGGCTGAGGCGAGTAGATTGCCTGAGCCTGCAGGTTCGAGACCCGCCTAGGCAACTTGGCGAGCCCTCATCTCTACAATAAATCAAAAATTAGCTAGGCATGGTAGCCAACTCAAAAAAAAGAAGAAAAAAAAAGAAAAGAAAATGTAATAAAGATTTCAATCATTGTTTTCTCATTTGAGTCCTGTAATACCCCTGTGAGAAAAGCAGGGCAGAAATTGTTCTCCCTATTTTCCAGATGAGGAGATTGAGCCCCAGAACGATTGAGTGACTTTTATTAATTCAGCACACATTTACTGAGTGATATTATGTGCTAGGATTTGTGCTCAAAGCCAGGCTTGCAGGAATGGAGTACATTATGTCCCAGAGGCTTAGTTTGACAGTTCTGAACTGACACAAGGGCTATTTATTAGAGTGTACTGGAAGCATCGTAGCTGGAGTGCCTGCCTCTGCCATGCATAGGAAAGGTGACGCTTGACCTGGACATGCAAAGATGGATAGGAGTTTGTTAGGAGGAAAGCACATTCTAGACAGAAGGAATACATGTATAGAAGAGATAAGGCAAGAAATAACATGGCATGTTTGGAGTCAAGTGTGCAAGCACAGGTTGGTAGGGACAAAAGTTAGGGGAAGATAAAGCTTAGAGAGTTAGTTCTTCATCAAGTTGAACACTTTGGGCTTGATCTTTAGATGGTGGAAGCCATAAACATTTTTATTTTTAATTTAATTTATTTTATTTTTTTAGAGACAGGGTCTCGCTCTATCACCCAGGATGGGGTACAGTGACATGATCATGGTCACTACATCCTCAAAACTCCTGGGTTCAAGCAATGTTCCTGCCTCTGCCTCCCAAGTCATCAGAGTTTTTAAAGCAGGGAAATGATAGCCCTCTTCTGAACCCTTCCTGGAATGTTCATGTGCTTGCTGTTCTTGACATTTTTTTTTAAATTCAGCCTAGGAGCTGCCTCTTCCAGGAGACTCTCCTTGACCATCACACCTCTAGGTTGGGTTAGAGGCTTCCTGTGGCCTTCCTTAGCCAGGACTTCCGTCTTGTCACTTATCTACTGCTCTGTTACTCTGTGTTTACCTGCTCTTTTATTCTGGTCTATGGCCACCCAGAGATGAGACGCCATGTCTGATTCATATTTGTATTCCCCATGTCCAGCACAGGGTTTGCCCCAGAGCAACGCGCTCAGTAAATATTTGCTGAGGGAATGAATGGGAGGAGTTGAGGTCCACCCCAACGCTGAGATAACATTTGGGGCAGATGCCGTGATGGGGTGATGCTGAGTGGTGTGCATTTCCTCAATGATGCTGGGGTGGGGAGTGAGTGTGTGAATAGTGGAGTGACCATTAGAAGGTTGGTGACTCAAGGTGACAGTGGAGGTGTGTTCCGAAGTGACCACAGGCTTCTCTCACAGATGGCTTCAGTGACTGATGGTAAAACTGGAGTCAAAGATGCCTCTGACCAGAATTTTGACTACATGTTCAAACTGCTTATCATCGGCAACAGCAGCGTTGGCAAGACCTCCTTCCTCTTCCGCTATGCTGATGACACCTTCACCCCAGCCTTTGTCAGCACTGTGGGCATCGACTTCAAGGTGAAGACAGTCTACCGTCATGAGAAGAGAGTAAAGCTACAGATCTGGGTGAGTCTTGGGCATCTTGGGCAGGAGAGGTGACTTGTTGCCAGTACAAGGGCTGGGAGGCAGGCCTTATGGCATCAGGTGTTAATACTGTTTTAGGTCTGGCTCCTGAGCTGTCCTTTGCTAGCTTTATACAAATTTGCTCTCCCCTAAGGGATCAGTGCTTCTGCTATTCACCTGTCTAAGAGGCTTTATCCTGGCTTGTATAAATAAATGGCCTAGAAACTGGGCTTTGAAGTTAGAGACCTGGGCTCAAATTCTACTTCTGATACTTGCTAGCCATGGAACTTGACTAGGTTCCTTAACATCTCTGTGCCAGCCTTTTTTTTTTTTTTTTTTTTTGAGTTGGAGTCTCACTCTGTCGCCTAGACTGGAGTGCAGTGGCCGTTCCCGGCCACTGCAACCTTGCCTGCTGGGCTCCGGCGATCCTTCCGCCTCAACCTTCCAAGTAGCTGGAATTACAGGCATGTGCTACCACGCCCGGCTGATTTTTTGATTTATTGTAAAGATGAGGTCTCGCTGCCCAGGCAGGTCTTGAACCCGCGGGCTCAGGCAATCCACTCACCTCAGCCTCCCAAAGGCGCGGGATTACAGGCTGAGCCACCGAGCCCGGCTCCAGCCTTTTTTATTTGGGGATTGTAACAGCATCTATATCACAGGGCTGTTGGATGCTTAGTGTCATTCCTGAACATAGTAAATGCGCAGTAAATGTTAGCCACTGTATTAGTTATCCATTGTAGCATAACAGATCACTCCAAAACTTGGTGGTATAAAACAACAATAATAATTTATTATCTCACAGTTTCTGTGGATCAAATATTTGGGAGTGGCATGGGGCCTCTCATGAGGTGAAGTCAGATGTTGCATTGGGTTGTATCCTCTGAAGGACTGACTGGAGCTGGAGAATCCACTTTAAGGTGGCTTTCTCGTTGGCTGTTGGCAGGAATCCTTCCTTCCTTCCCATTTGGCCTTCTTCGAGTATCTTCTCAGAGCTGCTTAAATATCTGTATTGCACCCCACAAAACCATAATAAAAAAAAAAATATATCTGTATTTCATGAAAGCTGACTTTTCCCAGTGAGAGATTTAAAATACTAAAGAGGAAATGGCAGTGTCTCTCATTAATTAGCCTATTCTACTGGCTACTGATTCAGTGTGGGAGGAAACTACACAAAAGTGTGAATAATGAGAGGAAAGGATCATTGGGGACCATTTTGGAAACTGGCCACCACAGTTATTATTATTATTGGTATTTACCAGTGATATCAATAATGTGTGTACATCTGTTAGATGACATAGCAATGTGTAGATCATATGCTTTTCAATAATGAATTAGTACCTGGTTTGAAAATTTTGAAAATTTTTGAAAATTGTAATTTAGAGTATTCAAAACATGTATTCTTACTATCTGTACAGTCTACTTATAAATTATTTTGCATATATTAATATTATCTCATAATTAACACTATGAGTAGATACTTTTTTAATACATCCCTGTTTTGTAGGAAAAAAAAGCTCAGAAGTTAGTTAATATGCTTTAGGTCACCATACTGCTGTAAAGTAGAATTTGAACTCAGATCTTCTGGTTTTTTTTTTTTTGGGGGGGGTTGGAATTTCACACTGTCACCTAGTCTGGAGTACCGTGGCACACTCATGGCCACCGCAGCCTCGACCTGCTAGGCTCAGGTGGTCCTTCTGCCTCAGCCTTCCAAGTAGCTGGAACTACAGGTGCACGCCACCATGCCCAGCTCATTTTTTAATTTATTGTATGGACGAGGTCTCACCAAATTGCCCAGGCTGGTCTTGAACCCCTGGGCTCAGGCAATCCTCTCACCTCCACCTCCCAAAGTGCTGGAATTACAGGTGTGAATCACTGTGCCTGGTAGATTTTCTGATTCTATATCATGGGTTCTTATCTCTACACTGTGCATCTGAAGTCTTATAGAGTTATCATATTTCCATTTATGACAATGTTAAATATTAGTTTATATAGCTATAAAAGTTCATTTTGTTCATTTACTTCCTACTAAAGGCATCGAGGAATCAGAAATCATTAGAAATGGGAGAAGTTACACAGGTCATCTAATTCATTGATTTTCAAGATGTGATCTTCAGACCTATGACATCAGTATCACCTTGGAATTTGTTGGAAATGCAAATCCTCAGGCCCTTCAGACTTACTGAATCAGAAACTAGAGCGGGGAAGGGCAACAGTCTGTGCTGTGCATAACAAGTTTTCCAGGTGGTTTTGAGGCAGGCTAGATTTATAGAATCTCAGATCTAGTTAAACTGTCTTGTGATAAGAGTCACCAAGCATTTATTAAAAGCACCTGTTATATGCCAGGTGCTTTCACTTGCCTTATCTGACATGATCTTTGCAGTTGATGCACAGTGGGGTATGAGAGCAAGGATATTTGGGGAATGGTGAGCAATACAGTGAAACCAGATCAAGGCTGTGGAAAAGCAGGGAGAGGGTACTGAGAGAGGTTTGCCAGGGAGGCTTTAGGAGGCAGATTAGGGGTGAGGGAGACCTTGTGCAGCAAGCAGAGAAAGTTCTTGCCATCGGCCGGAGAGCTTCTGCTTGATGACTCCTTAGGGAGCTAAAGAAATGATTAGAACATATTTTAAATCTATGAGTATAAAACAAGTTAATTTTTACTAATATTTATTGTGGATTCACACAGATGTGTCTATTCCATCCCCATATCAGATAACCACATACCCTACTCTCAAAAAATCTTGAAGTGGAAGGAGGTATTCTGCCCAAGGGGCTGGCAGTGATGACTCCCTTATCCCTTTGCTTATTTTCCGCCCATTGTGAGCTTTTGCTGTTTTTCTGTGCTTAGTTAAGCAGATTTATTGATTATACTATACAGTTTTAACTGAATGAAACCTCACAACGTATATGTGGCTTTTAAAGAGTCCTGTAAAGAAACCTCTGACTGAAGATTATACTAATTATAATGAACCCAAGTGAGCATAAGAGAATGGCTGAACTGATGTTTCTCTGACTCTCAGGACAAGTTCATTGTCAGCCACATTTCAAGTTAAAATCAATGACAATCTAGTTAGATCTGACTTAGTCAATCACATTGCTTTTGGCGAAGAAAAAATTAGCAAAGGATTTTTTTGTGTGTGTGCTTTTAAGTGACAAAAATAAAGTTTTCTGTACTACCCATATATACATTAAAATTTTAAAGTTATTTATTTTATTTTATATAGTTATCATCTTTTGCATACAGAGATGTATATAATCCAAGTAAATATGCATATTTGTACATGCTGAACTTAAATTTTTCTTACTTAAAGTATATAAATTTGAAGACCACTACCATAGGCACTGGGGGGCCATAGAAGGGTTTTAGCAAGTGAGATTTACATTTTACAAAAATCCCTGCTTCAGATTGAAGGGCAGATGGCAACGAGGCAAAGAAACCAGTGGTTTGGATCCAAACTCACCAAATTGTATACATTAACTATATATTTTTTGCATATCAATTTTAGCTCATAAAGCTGTTTTTAAAAACTAAACAAATAAAAGTAGTGATCAGCTATAAAAGTACTGTTATAGCTGTAAGTAAGCAAGAATGCAGTGGGTCGGGTAAATTATAGGGGCCTGAACTAAGTATATTAGTCTTCTTGGGCTGCCATAACAAAATAACACAGACTGGATGGTTTAAACAACAGAAATGTATTTCCTCACAGTTCTGGAGACTGGAAGTCCAGATCAAGATGCCAGCAGGGTCACTGTCTAGTGAGGGTGTCCTCTGGGGCTGCCTTCTCATTCTGTGTTCATAAGACCTTTCCTCGGAGCACGGGAATGGGGGAACAAGAGAGTGTAGACTCTTTGGTGTCTCTTCTTTTTAAATTTAATTTTATTTTATTTTGAGTTGGAGTCTCACTCCATTGCCCAGGCTGGAGTGCAGTGGCATGCTCACAGCCACCCCAGCTTCGACCTGCTGGGCTCTGGAGATCGTTCTGCCTCAGCTTTCCAAGTAGCCGGAACTACAGGCGCACACTACCACACCTGGATAATTTTTTATTTTATTATAGAGGCAAAGTCTCAGGCAATCCACTCACCTCGGCCTCTCAGAGTGCTAGGATTACAGGCTGAGTCACTGAGCCTGGCCTGGTGTCTCTTCTTATAATGACACTAATTCTGTTGGGTCAGGGGCTCACCCTCATGACTTCATTTAACCTTAGTTACTTCCTTAGAGGCCTCATCACCACAGCCACACTGGGTTGGGGCTTTTACGTATGAATTCTGGGGGGACACAACATTTGGTCTGTAACGCTAAGACAGTGACAGAATAATATAAGGAATGGAAATGAAGAAAGAGATTTAGGACTAGAATTTACAGAGTTTGATGATCAATTACTATTCCCCATCACCCACCTGAGGTTTTAGTTACCTGTCAACTGAGGTCCAGAAATATTACTGGAAAATTCCAGAAATTAACAGTTTATAAGTTTTACATTGCACATTGTTCTGAGTAGCATAATGAGACCTTGCACCGTCTTGCTCTCAATCTTGCACTGTCTTGCTGTGTCCCACCCAGGATGTATGCTGTGTATCCATGCTGCATACACTACCTGCCCATTAGTGACTTAGTAGCCATCGCAGTTTTCGGATTGAAAAAGTAGACTGTATACTCTGTCAGGTTTGGTACTATCTGAGGTTTCAGTCATCCACTGGGGGTCTTGGAACTTATCTCCCAAAGGAGAAAGGGAGACTACTTTTCTTGTAAAGGGAGAATGAGGAAAATATGACTATTTATATAATATATGAAGGGAAAACCCAAAAAACTGGAATTATCTTTTAGAGGGTAGGCCCCTTGTAGCACAGGCTTCCCCCGAGAATTAAGTGTTCTAGGACCCCATTGGCATCAGTGTACAAGCTAGCATTGTTGTGAGAGGCTGTGTTCAGCTTCAGTGAATTTTTATTTTTTGGAGATTCTTTCAAGTGTTTGTCCATTTCATGATGGATGATTTATGAATGCACCTGTCCATACCATGCTGAGTGTTCAGCACTTTTTG